GATTTCGTGGCAGGCGCAGTGCAGTTGCAGACTCAGGCGCAGATTGCTCGACAAGTGCAACGAACTGTGGTGCAATTCCCATTAGCACGGACGTGTCGAAAGGCGCGTGGCAGGCGCAAGCTCGACTGCGAACTTTGTGGCAGGCGCGTCGCTTCGCAAGGTTAAATACAGATTTTGTGTGCAGGAGCACAGGTGCAGATTTGGAGGCACAGCACTCGTCTTCATATCTTTCGAAATGATTGCTTTTCACTCAAGCATCTCTTTGCAGCACGCTGATCATGGCTACGGCGCATTTCAAGCTAGTTCTTGTGCTGCTTTTGCTTGGGCATGAAGGTTGACTTCCGTTCGATGTCACACCATTTGGGCTAAAGGTTCTTTCTTGTATATGGTTTCTGCCCGCAGTTCGGTACGCAAGCATACAAAAGCCTGGCTGCCGCGCTCAGTGAAGGCTGTTAAAGAACGATAAATATCAGGACCGTCCTAGCGTGCTCACATCCTCCAAATCAGACATACCATTCCTGTTCAAAATTAGATCCAGAATGTGCGCCGGGCACATTACAGGGTCTTACCCCTACAGGTATCCCCACAGGGGGCTGAATATATATATATATATATGTATGTAACAAGAGACATATTTTTGGTGTATATATGTATGTGTATATGTATGTACATATATGTATATGTATGTAAATGTATATATATATATATGTATGATATGTATACATATATACACATCCTACATGGACTTAGGTCGTGGACTCCAAGTGCAGCGTGCCGGATGCCACAAGCGCCGCCATCGCAGCGATGACCACGGGCCCCGCGAAGCACGTGGTCTTCGGGGACTCCTGCAGCGCCGCCTGCGAAGCGGTGAACGACGCCCTGCGGCACTTCAACGTGATGCAGGCGGTTGCGTCCGAAGGTTTTCTTTTTTGCTTTTGGCCGGGAAGCTCTCCAAAACATGGCGGATCCCCAAATTTGGGAAATTCTCACTTCCTGAGTTCATGAACTTTAAACTTTTTGAGAAGACCATTTTAGTGGTAGATATTTGGGCCATCCACTCAGCAAATGAGAAAGAATTATTTTGGCCGGGGAAGCGCAAAACATTGCGGATCCAAATTTTTGGACATCAACCCCCGCAGTTTGAGGGAGGTCCAGAAGTTTTTGGCCGGCGAAACGCAAAACATGGCTGTGGTGGTCAAAACCGTTTTGGGATCCCATTTTGTGGTGGCTGCACCACCCAATTAGAGCCGATTTTAGTGGGGATTGGGATGTTCACCAGGGGTACGGGATTTTGACCCATGGCCGCATGGCAGATCCATGGAGATTAACCCCCGCATTTTGAGGTCCAGAGGGTCATGTAAGATTCACACCCATGTGTGCCATTTGTTTGAGGGTGCTCTTTGCTTTTGCGGCAAAGCAGAACCGAACAGACAACCACAATTTGCGGGTCCCCTAAAAAAGACGCAGCGATATGAGAGGGGTAGCCTAGCAGAAATGAATTCATGCCATCTAAAAAGAAACGGTCCCGGTTGATGCAAGCCTTTCTCTGAAGGGCAACATGGTTGGCACGTCACTTGTCCTTGAAGAGGTTGGGCCTGGATGCGTGTCGGTGAGCTTGAGCGACAGCACCCGATTCCCATACTTCACTCGGATGGCTCCATCCTTCCGATTCAACGTGCAGAGCCATGGCTGGTATGGAAAAAAAACAGACCTAAGCAAGACCCTTTGGAGGGGCCACTTCTTTGCAAAAGAGGAACTGCACATTTGTCGCTTGACCAATCACAGCGGGCGAGCCAAGGACCGTTTACGAGATCTTCAAGTTCTTGGGTTTTCGCCGAGTTGGCGTGGTTTACGGATACAGGCGCGTGCCCTATGTTTGTAAAAGCAAAAATGGTGAGTAGGGCGTTTGGGCGGGAGGGCACTGGTCCCTTGATACTGTGGCTAGGTCCCCCAGTGCCCTTTCTCACCCCCTTTTTTTGGGGAGGGTTCCCCTACTAAGATTGACTACAGAAAAAAAAACCTCGGATGCCAACTTATTCTAACCTAGAGGACCTGTGGTTCCAACTTTCTGAGGGATATCTTTCAAGCGCCGGGGGCGAAGTTGGCGCAGAGTCGTTTGGCACTTTGTGATGTGTCTACCGGATGGATCCTCGGGCAATTCTCTCCACTGAAGGACCTAGGTGGTGTTCCAACTTTCTGCGGAATCTTTCAAGCGCCAGGGGCGAAGTTTCGTGCTGAGATGCTGAAGTGCCAAACATCGCTTTGACAGGGCTCCTTAAAAGATACATTTTGCCCATTTGAAGCATGCCTTTTTCCACCAAAGTAAAGGGAAACCACAATTTCCAAGGCAATGTTCAGGTGTATAATGTAAGGATCCCTGTTTGAGTTTGTTTGTTCGCCAGGAGCATCAACGTGCTGGCCAAGGATCTCTTCCTGGAGCTGATGTCGGGCGACAACAGCGCGGGAAGCTACTCCTGGACTCCTCTCTACACCCACCGGGTGGAGCTGCTGCAAGATGCGCAAAGTGCCGTTGAAGAGGCAAGGGGTGCGCGAGGTGAACAAATCACCATGTTCAGTCAGTGAATTTTGAGGGCATGAAAAAGATCATTGTTTTGTTTTCTCTGGGGGAAAACAAACACACGTGGGAACTCCCTCATTTTCCCAAGTCCATAGCGAAAGCAAGGGCAATTTTGACCTTGGCTCGTGTAGAGCCAACGCTTTGGCTTCACGTGTTTGATCGTGCTTCAGCTGATAGGCTCGCCGGACGGATGCCCGGATCAACTTCATGGCTCTCTATGAAGCGGAGGGCTCCATGGTTCTTTGCCAGTGCCACAAGAAGAACATGCTGACTCCAGACTATAACTGGTTTGTGGCTTCTGGCTGGTGGAATCAGAATTTCATCCTTCTGACGGCGGACACTGAAAAGAGCCCCTGCTCCGTCTCCGAGTTGCAGCGGGCTGCCTACAGTCTCATCGCCATTGACCGAGGGCCCATGCTGGATACCTCGGAGCTTCACAGCTTGTCCGGCCGACCTTTGTCTGAGCTCTACGCAGAGTACACCGGCGCTTGCCAAGGTTTCGCCAACGGCAAGGGCGTGTGCAACCACCAGTTGGCCGGTTACTTCTACGATGGCGTTTGGCTCATAGCGTCCATTCTGCATACATACCTTGTTGAGCAAAACAGGCAGGGAACATTTCTAAATCCGATTGATACGTCTTTCTCTCGCTCGCCGGAAGTTGCGCGTCAGACTTCCGTTCTCTGATGTCTTGGCAGGTCTATCGCAGACTTGGGCACCGAGGAGTCACGGCAAGCCCTGCATCTTGGTTGCCCTTTGCGACCTTTTCGCCTTTCAATTTTTCTCGTGTCCGACGCGCCTTTCCATTTTTGCGACTCGCCGTTCGAACAGCTTAGGGTCACTTCACTTAGCCGCTACACACTTCCCCTTGACCATGGAACCTCAAAGGTCGATTCCGACATGAGCCACGTGCTCAAAACCGATTCGGGTAGACCATAAATAGCTGCGGATATCCGGCTTCATCCTGTACATGGTTCTGGGAAAACCGACCATTTTAGTACCGATCGGCTTTGATTAGGCCTATGGAGTTTGGGTTCCTTCCGTCAGTCTGTTCAAAATCTCCCGATCAGGGCCGTCAGGCCAGGCGGGGGTTTAGAGTTTGTTTCTTCTTTTTTCCCATCGGTTCCGTCAAAATGTTGCGCCTGTGATTTGGGGGGAAGGACTCACGAAAACAAAATCCCCATGTCTCATATGAAGAACTCACTGGAAAGAACTCACTCAATTTCCCCATGTCTCACATGAAGCTTTTTGGAAGTAACCCAATCTATGGCTCAGGTACGACCTCTCCTTGTCCACTGACTTCTACGGCCAGACCGGCCGTGTTCGCCGCTTGGAGAATTTTCGATCGGAGACGGATCCGCTCTCGAAGAAGACGGCTTTTTTCGCCACGGCCAAGGGACAGATGCCGAAGCCTGGAGAACGTCCCCCATTCGATGTGCACCGGGATGTCCTTGCTATTTGTTACCAGGATGTACGAATGAGGTCGTCAATATCTATGGTCCCAACGAAGGTGCCTCTAAAAGAATATCTGCCACACAGAAGTCCATAACCTGGACAACCCCATCTATGATCAGGGGCTTGCCCTCTTTGACTGTGGAATGGGGTTGGGGGTCCACCCCCTCTGCCCGTGATGAGTGGGGGCAGTTGGGTTCACGAGAGGTGGTTAGTTGGGATTTGTTCAGTATTGGTTGCTATGGGCTAGGGCTTAGGAGGTTACTGTATGATTGGCTAGTTTGGGCTCGGTTCTGGGTTGTTTCAGTTTCTATTCTTGTTGAAGGGCTGGCTTAAGGTGAGTTCAGCGTGGTCGGGTGTGGTTTAGCATTTAGAGTCGTGTTTGGAGTTGGCAGAAGGCTCGGTCTAGGAAGCCAGTTCATCTCTGGCGTCCACAGATGGGCTTGCTGGAAGCTTACATTTGCTGCTTCAACAGTAGGCTGAGGATGCTGGTTCGGATGCCCGGGATGCCAGGGGATGCTGAGGATTCTGAGGGGCAAAGGTAACTCCCCTTCTGGGTCCCCCGGCTAGGTGCCCGTCAAACTCCCCTTTTTTGGTCGGGAGGGTTCCCCTAGACGACAGAAAAACAAGTTGGTACCAACTTAAGCCTCTCTACCGGAGGACCTAGATGGTCATCCACCCATAATTTTCCCCAAACCACCGGGAGTTTTGACCTCGCATAGGGGTGCCAGGCCTGCGAATGGACACCCTGAAAATGGAAACCGCGGAGAATCCCTCCGTCCTATTGCACGAATTCTTGCACCCGCAAAGGATCAGACACATGGCCGTGCTTTACGGATACCCGCTTCGGCATGTCTTGTTTTTGGGAAGCAACATAGATTTCTGTGGGGATACTCGCTTTGGCACGTTTCGTTTTTGGGGAGCAACACCACAATTTCTTGAGGGATACGCCACTGTGGCATGTTTTGTTTTT